GGGGGATCTCAGACGTGCGCGGTGACATTTGTGTGTGCAAGGAGCCAATGGCTCCTTGCACACACAAATGTCACCGCGCACGTCTGAGCCATTTGCTCCTTGCGAGGAGCAAGGTCCTTCCTTGTGCAAGGTCCTTCAAGCCGGCGCACGGTGACCTTCACACGTCGCACTGTGGCATTTTGCACGTGCGAGGGAACCCTCTGCACAAGCACAGCGCCGTCGGCACGTGCGTGGCGAGTTCTGCATCTTCCCCGTGGCACTTTTGCACGTGCAGAGCAACTTTTGCACAGGCACAGTGGCATTTTGCACATTCAAGGAATCCCATTGTACGTGCACAGTGGTGTTTGCCCCTGCACAAGAACCCTTTGCACAAGTGCAGTGACACTTCCAGGTGCCAGGCACTGCAAGCCGGCACACAGCGACTTTCACAGGTGCCCAGTGGCATTTTTTTACGTGCACAGGGACATCTGCACTTGCACAGGGACATCTGCACTTGCACAGGGACATTTGCACGTCCAAGGAGCCCTTTGCACAAGCACAGTGGCATCTGCACACGCACAGTGCTGCACATACGTGCACGGTGGCTTTTGCACCTGCACGGTGACATCTGCACAGGCACAGTGACATTTGCACAGTGGCATCTGCACAGTGACATCTGCACAAGCACAGTGACATTTGCAAGTGCAAGGCACCATTTGCACATGGACAGTGGCTTTTGCACGTGCAAGGAACCCTTCACACAAGCACAGTAACAGTGGCACACACACAGTGACTTCTGCACGTGTGTGGTGGCACTGGCGCGAGCACAGTGACATCTTGCACGTGCCAGGCACTGTGCCCAGTGGCATTTCACAAGTGCCCAGTGGCATTTGCACACCCCAGGCACCTCTTGCTCAGCTCTGGCAGTGCTGGCACGTGCACAGTGACATCTGCACAGTGACATCTGCACGAGCACTGTGACGTTTCAGTGACGTTCACACACTCCCAGCAGCATTTGCACACCCAGTGCCCCTCTCCCAGCTCAACCCTCGCCCCCCCCAGCACCCTGTGAGCTGCACAAGACCCCTCCCCTCGTGACCCCATCTCCTAATTGCCCCCTAATTACCTCGACCTAATGAAAGGGGCGTGTCCCAGCGTGTCCCACCCACTTTGCTGCCCTTGCCTTCCCCCCTCCCAACCTCCCCAAGATCCCTCCAGGGGCAGCAAATCGCCTCAACCCAAAGGATTTTTAAATCAAAATAAATCACTGAGGACACAACAAAAACCAAGTTTAGGGACAAATTAACCTGTTGAGTTAATTTTTTTTCCCCATCTTGGCGTGGTTTCTGGCTCCCCACACGTGTGACGAGCTGGGCAGCGGGGTCAGTCCTCAGCCAAGGGACATTTGGGAGGCATTTTGGGACCCAGCCCCATCGCGTTCCGCTCAAAGAGGGGGTTTTATCCACCGAGGCTCCAGCTGCCATCCCAAATCCCACAGTGGGTTTGGGACAGGGCAGGGAACGCTGCTAATTATAGGGAAGGAACCGTGTATTTACAGAGGCAGCTCCCAGCACCAAACCGCCGGCGGCTGCTTTTGCTCCGCTGAGTCTCTCTGTTCTCCTTCTCTCCTCTTTCCCGGGCGCTGCTCTCCACAAAAAAAAACATAGAAAGGGGGGATGAATTAAAAATAAATCCCCCCCAGGCGATCTGCAAGAGGCACTTTAGCAGAGGAGGACGAGGAGGGCGAGGAAGGGCAGGAGCAGGGGGGCGGCGGGGCGGGCGCCGGCGTTGCAGTGGCCGCGGTTGGAGCCGATGCAGGCGGCGTAGGCCATGGCGTGGGGGATGTAGTTCTGCTCGTGGACCCCGTGGAGCAGGTGGGCCATGGGCCCCTGGGCGAACACGGCCACGTCCTCGCCGCCGTGGGTCTCCTGCCGCAGCGGCACGGCCGACTGTGCCTGGTAGTCAGCGTGTGCTGGGGGAAAAGTTACAATAATTAAACCAAAAATTAGAACGATTTTAAAAAAAAAAAATATATAGGCAAGCTGGGACAATTTTAAGGGGTTTTGGCCCAAAGCAGACTCACCAAAATCCACAGCAGAGACGTTTTCTCGCTCGCCCGCCACGATTTTGTAGCCGGGGCCGTTGCCGTAGAGGATGGAGGTGAAGGGCTTGCGGTCCACGTCGCTCTGCATGGGGGCCAGACCTGGCGGTGGGGGCACAGTCAGCGGGGTGGGACGTCCCCACGGTGTCCCCGAGGCGTCCCCCAGGCGCCCCCGGCCCCGCGCTCACCGAAGATGGGGTTCCCGCGGGGGGTGTAGCCGCCGAAGGTGAAGACGTGCGAGTGGTCGGCGGTGACGACGCTCAGGGTGTCCTGTGCCGACGTGAGGCGCGTGGACAGGCCGATGGCCCGGTCCAGCTCCACGGCCTCGTGCAGCGCCTGCTTCGCCTTCCCCTCGTGGTGCCCGTGGTCGATGCGGCCGCCTGAGGGACCCGGCACCGCTGGGCATCACCCCCGGAGCGTCCGGCCCCTGGCACGCTCCTCCTCCCAGCTCTGCACCCCCTTACACCTGCTCTTGCACCCCCCCAATGCGTGTTTATCACCCTTTGCACCCCAATCACCCCCTTTATCCCCCCCTTTTTACATTCCCCATCCTCCCCTTTGCACCCCCATTCCCATTTCCCCTCCTTTTTTCTTCCCCTGTCATCCCCATTATCCCCTCTCTTTGCATCCCACGTCACCCCCGTATCCACCTTTCTACATTTCCCCATACCCCCTTTATCCCACCTTCATGCATCCCCCATCACCCCTTTATCCTCCATCCCTGTTCTCCCTCTTTGTTGCACCTCCATCTCCCCATTATCCCCACTTTTGGTATCCCATCACCTCCTTTGCCATCCTGTTGCCCTTTCTATCCCTCACTTTTTACACCTCCTCTTCACTCAATCCTCCCCCTTTTGCACCTCCCCTTTTGCACCCCATCACCCCCTTTATTCCCCCTCTTTGAACCTCTACCACCCCATTTACCCATCCCCCTCTTTTTGCATATCCCCTTTTGCACCCCACATTATCCCCTTTAATCCCCCCTTTTTGCACCCCCATCACCCCCTTATCCTCCTTTTGCACCCCCTTTTGTCCAATCCTTCCCTATTTGCACCCCCTTTTTTGCACCCCTCATAACCCCCTTTTACCCCCCATTTTCTCACCCCCCATCATTCCCTTTTATCCCCCATTTTTGCACCCCCATCACCCCCCACCTTCAACCAGGAGGAAGAAGCCGCGGGGGTTTTTCTGGAGCATCCTGATGGCCACAGCCACCATCTCACTGAGGGAAGGATCCGTCTCGTTGTTCCTGTCCAGCTCGTACACCATGTCCCCGGGCTCGAAGAGGCCTGAGGACAGGGACAGGGACACTGCTGGGGACATCCTTCCCCCACCAAAACAAAAAGGGAGGCCAAATCCTGCTCCTCGTGCTGACTCAAGCCTTTCACACGCCA